CCTAGACTACAGTGGACGACACCGTTGGTTTGGTTGTTGGTATCGTGGTTACTCGCCGGGTTACTCTCGAGTACAAATGCCGAATCAGGCTCTCTGTAAAAAATAAATTAATAGCTGTGTGCGAATGGAGTCGTCACGTTTACATCCGACGAGTCCTCGACAGCCCCAGAGCCGGTCGGCACATAACACAAAAGTTGGCCGTGCTGTGGGGCGCAGGACCGGAGAGGACTCCATGCGGGCATGGTGACTGGCTAAGCCAGCCACTAACTTCACGCCGAAGAACAAGGCGGGTGTTTGCGGGCATTTCTAGTTATTGAAAATATCGGGTCAGCTGGAAAAGGTTGGGGATCCACAGACCTTCAAGGCGGCACGCACGACGGGCGCTTAAAACGATTCCATCGGCAACAACATATGTGGTCGGTTGGGAGAGGGGGGGAGGGAGCCCGTCCAGGCAAATATTCGCGGACTGGTAGGCTCGCTGCCATTGCCACTGGTGGGCCCGTTGTCGTTGCCACTGGGGAGCCCATTGCCGTTGGTCAGAGGACGGTGATGAAGGTGAAGCAAATATAGAACAGCATGATAGGGTACGCGGCGAGGTACCTTTGCGCCTGCATGTCGAGCGCTTCTTCGACGAACCGCGACGCCGTGGAGGTGGACCAGAGGACCCCGGCAGTGGCAACATATGGTTTCAGTTTGGTGAAGGGGGCGAGGAAAGAGACGAGTAGGATGGGCAGAAGTCCGTAACCTAGGACGGAGATAGTTCGGTGTATGGAGAGCAGTTTGCTGCGGCTCATGAGGTTGAGCAATGCCCAGACGCCGAATGTGCCTCCAGTCATGAGTCCGTAAACGTATTCGAAGTGGACTTTGCCCGACAATAACAAACAGCTGCAGCCCAGACCCAATAGGATCAGGACCGGCCCAGTCATGTCCATGGAGTCCAGCATCTCGTCCCCCACCTTCCGAAACGTCAGGACACACAAAGTGCGTCGTAGAATATCTCGCGGAATGATTCCCAGCTCCTCCAACAACGGCGCCTCCTCCTCCTCCATAGCCGCCTCGCGACTGCCAACATGGCCCACTAACTCCGTCACCCGGCGACCTCCAAACGGGTCCTGCAGCGGGGCCCTTGACGTTTCCGCCGGACCCGACCCCAGTCCAGCTCCGGGACCCGACCCCAGTCCAGCTCCGAGACCCGACCCCAGTCCAGCTCCGAGACCCGGCCCGGGTCCGGGTACGGGCCTTCCTCCAGGCATGTAGCCGCTTGGCATGAACCCACTGGGCCGTTGTCTTGCTCCCTCCCGGTTACTCAAACCAGAGTGCATGAACGGATTCGTCGATGGAGCGCCAGAGAAAGTGTTTCCAATTTGAGGGCCAGTCTCGGGCCCACTCCTTGCCTTCATTACGGGCTGTTCGTACCGCGAACCGTTATACCACTCGGGAACCGCCGGGGCCACCACCGGCGTGACGAATCCGGAAGGCTGCGGCCCAAATGGTCCGCCCGCAGGCATGGTCGGTGGACCTGGCAAGGTTACTCCGCCGGTCAGTCCACCATGCATTGGCTCTGGCATTGGACCTGTTTTGGGTCCCGGACGTGAAATGGATCCCGCACCAGGCGCAGACGGACCGACTTGTGTTCCACGAGAACTCTCTACGAAGGTCGGCACGCCCGGTTTACGCTGGTACATCGATGATGTCGGCTCTTGGTTACCGATGCCTAACAAACAGACATGTTTGGGAGCATGTGAGTTGCTGCTCCAGTGGTGCTGCTGGAGACCATGCTGCTCACCGGTTCGATTGAAGTTGTCATGCATAGGCTGTGCCGTTGTTCACGATTTTATTACCCCCATGTCCCCTTGATTTTCACCCGCTACAAGTCTTCCTGTGCCTCATGTGCTGTGCCTCATCTGCTGTGCGCAACCGCCAGTCAACGTGCGATAGCTCTCAGTTTCAGCCGTTGTCGGTCCCAAGCCACGCTTGGTAACTCCTACTGAAGTTCCTAGCTCATGGATGGATGCCAATGACTCACGTCAACCTTTTCCGGTCGATAGCCTTGGCCTTGACCGTGGCTCGATTTTATAACCCGTGAAATAGCCTAGAATGGGCAAGACCAAAATATCATGGGATGAGGACGCACGAAGGTAAGATTGCATGTACACAACGCACTTGCTTGTTCATAGAGACTACCTGTTGGGGTTTGCACGACGGAAAGCGGCTCGTAAAGAGCACGCCAAAAAGGAAATGATAAAGGCGAAACGAGATGAGGAAATACAAGCCAACAAAGAGTATCGTAAAGACATGAAGAACTGGATGAGCCAATATAAACGTTCGAGGAAAATGATTGTTAAAGAGAACAGGAAATGTGAGGAACGCAACAAGGATGATGATAGCAAGCAGAAAGATGAGGATGGTGATAGCAAGCAGAAAGATGAGGATCACACGGACGATGACACTAGTCCGCAGGATGAGAACTTCAAGACGTTCAATGGTTCATTTTATGGGCAGTCCAGATCTGTGGTTACCGTCTCCATTTCCAACGTTATCCCCATGAGTAATTATGATCTTCTACGCGCCCAGATTTTCAAGCGCTAATCATAATTCCATCCCCTCGCCCTTTTTGACAGTTCCACTTTCTAGTTCCACTTTCTAACAACTCCATTTTCGGTTCAGGAAGAGTCCAGTTCTATTTCTGTCGGGTCTCTATCTAAACAAGAAGCTTTCTATCTAAACAAGAAGCTTTCTATCTAGCTATCACATCATGGACACCTTCTGCACACACGCGTGTGTTCTCTTGATTAAACATCACTTAAAGTTTGTGAATGAGCGCAAATACGTTGGTCTCTGGGATTGCCACTGCTGCTTTAAAATATTCAGCAACCGACGAACGTCGACGATGGCATTTCCTTGAGTAAGCATGTGCAGTAGGGGGATTCGGGGCACAACCTGGCTTGAAACATACCTTTCCTCATGAGGGGTAGCTAGGTGCACGAGGCCTGAGTCATAGTTGATTACTTCGAATGTGCATAAAGCAGGGTAAACAGGTCTCCCTCCTGGAGACCGCAGTAGTTTAGGGAAATTATCGCCGTCGTCACTTGGCGTCACTTCGTCCTCATCAGTCTGTTTGATGCTGATCCATGTCTCGCGAGGCACATGCTGCGGTATGAACCAGACACTGGCCGCGGGGCGATGACATGGATCAGCCTCAACAAGTATGTCGGCCACTGTTTTGCTGCCAGTTAGTCCGCTTATAAGCCCTCCTTCTGGCTCTTCGGTGGAGTCCCTCTTCCTCATGTTAGTGGAGTCCTTCCTCATGTCAGCGGAGTCCTTCCCCATGTCAGCGGAGTCCTTCCCCATGTTACCTATATCCCTCTCTACAAACGCTTCGGCGGGGTAAATGGAATAGTAGTTTCCCCGCAAGTGCAGTGCTTTGAACGAGTTGTCCGTCCAGTGTCCTGTGAGCTTCTCTACGTCTGCCAGTCGTCGCTCCTCAGCCAGTCGTCGCTCCTCAGCCAGGCGTCGCTCCTCAGCCAGGCGTCGCTCCTCCTCGATGAGGTGAGGTTTTGACGGCGGTTGCGACAGGTAGGGCTGAGCCAGCAACGCCTTGGTGGGCATGTCCCACTGGATCGCGGCGGCCTTATCTACCCACACGACAACGCGTTTTGTCGGCGCTTTCGACGGCCAAGCCGGTGGGGTTTCTGACGGTTCCCACTCCAACTTGAATTTTCTATCTTCCCCTAATTCCCTTTTCTTCTGTCTCACTAGATTATTCAGGCCCTCACCGTAATACAACTCAGGGTCATCCAAATCCAGCACATCGAACTTGTCTCTTACATCAGAGTGCAACTCCTTCGGGAATGCCGCTAGTGGCACACACACTCTTAAACGTTTTTTATCTTTGACGCACAGTTCCTCCAAGTCCTGCTTCTTTAGGCTCTTGTACCGTGCAGGACAGTAACCCCGCGATTCAATCTCCTCATTGCCAGCCGTCTCCTCGCGAGCGATCTTCTCGCCGAGCGCTAGTCCGTGACCTTGATCTGCAATCGGAGGCTGTCCGGCGGGCAACGTGAACGGTGGCTGGTCCAGTTGCTGGTCCAGTTGCTGGCAACGGCCCCTTACATTGGCGGGAGACAGTGATCTTTTTTGCAGATTTCGAGACTTGGACTTGGGTCTAGTCAAATCGATATTTAAATCTCCGCAGGAGACTCCGCGCCGCACTCCCGGCACAAGGACGCCAGGCATTCGAGGGGATTGGACCGATCCGCGTCGCTGCGGTTTCTCAACCGGTGCCGGATGTTCCAGTGACCTAGGCACCGAAACCATGCTTACAACCATTTCAGGGTTTACAACCATTTCCGGGTTTACAACCATTTCCGGGTTTACAACCACAACGTCTTCTGGGTTTCGAGAGGCAATTGTGCCTTTCTCTTTGGGGAACGTCTCATTTTCGGTATCTAAGCAAACATCAACCGCCGTGTTAGTTCCAACCGCCGTGTGAGGATGTGAATGAAGCTTGTGATTGTCCATTCGGACGACAGCCTTCGATCCAGGCCTGACGCCGGGTGGTGTACATTCTCCGTCCATGAAAACCACCAGGTCTTCAGGAGAGGTACTCGTAGCTTCAAAAGGGTTGCTGCTTTCAAGCCGCTGGCGGCAGTCGTCTTGACATGGGGCGGCGCTGCTGTGCAACTCCCCAGCGGCCCCGTCTTCAGGCCCGTTGCGAGACCACGGTCGATCGTCCTCCGATTCGCCACTGCCCGCGGATTCGTCGCTACTGTCCAATCCAGATGCCTGGTCCCTCCATCGAACGCTCCGGCCCACCTCTGCAGATTCAGGGCATCGCAACACCCTGGTCTCCGCCTTCGACGAAGGCTCAGTCGGAGCAGGTGCGGTCGTAAGAGGCTCGGTCGAAACGTGTTCGGTCGAAACGTGTTCGGTCGAAACGTGTTCGGTCGAAACGGGCTCAGCGACATCCCCGCTGGCGAGGGACACAGAACGCTGAGAGGGGGCAGCCTCGTCCGAGTCGGGCAAACTCAAACCTGACCCCTCATCAAACACGGAATCAGAGCACGGCAGTTGACTGTCACTAACGCCTTGACCCTCTCCAAGGGTTTGACTCTCACTCGAGGGTTGACTCTCACTTAAGGGTTGACTCTCACTTAAGGGTTGACTCTCACTCGAGGGTTGACTCTCACTCAAGGGTTTACTCACACTCAAGGGTTGACTCTCGCTGACTGGTTGACTCTCACTCATGGCCGGGTCCGCCAGGTGCGGGGCGTCTGCAACTGACGCAGTCGCTTCTGCCGAGCCTGCCGAAACCACTTCTGTTCTTTCAGCCTGCGTGTGGATCGAGTCACTTGGAGCCTTCTGCTGTGGCGTCACGGCGTGTGAAGGCTCTGGGAGCGGTGCCGGATCCTCGTCCTGTGAAGCCTCGCCGTGTAGAGTCCACACCGTCTGAGGGACCTCGGATTGCAGAGCTTGGTCGCCGTGTGGAGCATCCTCCGGCAGCGGAACCTCGGTCCGTGGATCCTCATCATGCGCAGCCTCGTGATGTGAAGCTTCGACTTGATGGGCCCTGTCCTGTGGACCCTCCACTTGTGGACCCTCCACTTGTGGACCCTCCACTTGTGGAGCCCCCTCGTTCTGTTCAGGCTGCTCCGCCGGTAGACCTCCGGCCTGTGGAGCATCGACTTGTGAAGTCTCGATTTGTGGACGTTCCTCGTTCTGTGAAGCCTCCTCCGCAGGTAGACCCCCGGTTTGTCGGGTCTCGACTCGTGGAGCCTCAGACTTCGCCGCACCAGACGGGAGGATTATGTTCGCGTCCGTGGGATGCTGCTTGTCGGGAAGAGGTTCAGGAATACCCTCCTGGTCAGGGGTGCCTACCGGACCAGAGGTACCTTCCTGGTCAGGGGTGCCTACTGGACCAGAGGTATCTTCCTGGTCAGGGGTGCCTACTGGACCAGAGGTATCTTCCTGGTCAGGGGTGCCTACCGGACCAGAGGTACCTTCCTGGTCAGGGGTGCCTACCCGGCCAGAGGTACCTTCCTGGTCAGGGGTGCTTTCCCGGGCAGGCGAGAGGTCTTGCAGCCTCGGCTCGCCGACGTCGAGCGCTTCATCGGAGTCGCCAGCCACGGCCACGATAGGTGTGGTGCCCTCGGTGTCGCTCGGCAGCCGTTCCGGCAGGCTCCGTTCTGGCTGTGGTTTCACGCTCCGTTTCAGTTGTGGTTTCAATCTCCGTTCTGGCTGCCCTTTTGGGCTCCGTCCATTTCCGTGGGGCCGGGCACCGACCGTTCGATCGTTTTTGGTTGCGGCCATCTGGAGTTTCGATTGGAGGCCGGGCGATCGAGTCCGGCGTCTGCCCACGTGCCTCGAGACCGACAGAGGCGCAATGGGGTTCGGGACGCGCCGCGGTTCCTGCTGCACCCGCGGCCGAGGTATGGACGCAGCCGGGTCCCAGAAAGACTGTCCAACATAGCACCCAGCGGGAGGATTGACTGCGGTAACGGCTCCCGAGTGGGGGCGGCCAGTTCCAAATGAGGGACCAGTTCCGAACGGGGGGCCAGCTCCAAACAAGCCAGATATCCGCGGAGTCTCCCGATGGCAGCCCATGGCGTTGTCGTAGGGTTCGGTTGGTACAACGATATCCATGTCCTCGTTGAAACCACCCCCCGAGCACTCAACTTCTGCACATGGTTGCGGCCGGTCTGGATACTGTCGGGCTTCCGGGTACTGCTCCACTGGGTACTGCTCCACCGGGTACTGCTCCACCGGGTACTGCTCCACTGGGTACTGCTCCACCGGGTACTGCTCCACTGGGTACTGCTCAGCCGAGTAATGCGGGTGGGGGATCGCTGCGGGCTGTGGGTACGGTTGTGTGTACGGCGGTAGGCACTGTTCCAGGTGTTGCAGTCTGTAGGTGCGCTGGTACATGGCGCCTATCTGAGGGCCCAGCATCTGCGGCCCAAATGGCTGGCGTCCCGGAGCCTGAAATCCAAACGGAACCTGAGGTCCCGGGAACTGGGTTGCCAACGTGACCTGGGGTCCGAACGTCTGGGACGCAAATGGCTGAGGGCCAAAGGGTGCGGGTCCGAGTGTCTCTGACAGGTAGCCTATGTCAGGCGACGGAGGTCCGGGGTAGTAACCCGCCTGGACGGCCGCCGGTAAAGTAGAGACGTCGGGGGCTTGGGTAATACTCTGGAAGCCCTCAGTGTAGGTACAGCCGGGAGCCATTGGTATCTCGGAATTGGCTGGGGGAGGCGCGATCAGTTCACTCTCAATGTCCCGCGGGTGCTCCAGAGCAGCGAAGGCGTGAGTTCGGACCACTGAATGGTCGAGCCCGACCGTGTGATCCAGGGCGACCACGTTGTGGACCGCGCCGTGATGCGAGTGCTCAGGCTGCCTAGTGCAGTCAGGCTGCCTAGTGCAGTCAGAGTGCCTACTGTAGTCAGGGTGCCTACTGTAGTCAGGGTGCCTACTGTAGTCAGGGTGCCTGCTGTAGTCAGGGCGGCTATTGTAGTCAGGGCGGCTATTGTAGTCAGGGCGGCTATTGTAGTCAGGGCGGCTATTGTAGTCAGGGCGGCTACAGTAGTCGTTCGGACCGGTGTAGGCTGGCTCTCTGTTGTATCCAGGCTGCCCGTTGTAGTCAGGTTGCTCCGGGCGATGTGGGCAGTTCTCGCCCCCAGGTCGTGACTTGGCTGCCGCCAAGACGAGCTCGCCGGCCCTACCTAGCTGGGGGCTTTTGGGCACGACTCTGCCGGCTACCCGCTGCTTTTTCGGGTCCAGTTTCTTGGCTATGTTCTCCACCCCTCCAGAGCACCAGTTCATTGTCAATGGTTTATGCTGTGATGACTTTATTAACTTGGAAATTGCAAGAACCTACCCCCCTCCTTTCCTCACCACGGGCGGAGCAACAACCGTGTCCACGGGCGGAGCAACAACCGTGTCCACGGGCGGAGCAACAACCGTGTCCACGGGCGGAGCAACAACCGTGTCCCTGTCCTCCCGATAAGAACACAAGTTTATCTAGCTACTAAGTTCAGGTAAAACGACCATGGGATTCACACACAAATCAGATCTGTACATAACATCTGCGCACAAACGGATCCACCCCCGCACACATGTAACGAATGAGTCACACAATGCTGTGGCAACACATCAAGTCGGTCACATCAGAAAGCTGAACACAAGCCACGACCAGAACACAAGCTGGATGAGGTTCAAAGTATCCGGTCTTGGCTGAGATATTTCCGAAACCGTCTCGATCGAAGCATACTTGTCCGCGCAAGCCACCGGACCGGTCTCAACCACTTCCACATTTTGAGGAGGTTCCTCCTCAAGAGGTTCATTCACTTCCCTTGCACGCACTTCGGGAGGAGATGCACACGTTTCCGGGACGGTGGACGTGGCCGGAATGTCACAGACTTCTGCGCAAGATGTAGCGGGCATCTCGCAAACTTCATTCGAAATCGCCTTCAGTCTTTTTCTCCCCTCTGTCGACGGTACGCATTCCAATTCCGTCACTCCGTCCGCTGCCGCGTTTTCAATCTCCTCGCTTCCTTTCTCGATTGTAACAACCTCACCCTCCGAATCACCTCGTCGCACTCCACCCTGTGGCTGTGGTTCTTCACGGAGTTTGGGCTGTGGGTGTTCGGGAAGTGTTGACGCTGCCGGGGCCTGGGCTTCCGCCGTCGGAGCCTGTGGTTCCGTCGTCGGGGTCTGTGGTTCCGTCGTCGGGGCCTGTGGTTCCGTCGTCGGGGTCTGTAGTTCCGTCGTCGGGGCCGGTGGTTCCG